AGTCATCACCTGTGGCAGCTGTAAATACGTTTTGACAAAAAAGATGTTTGGATAATTTCACTTAGATTTTTAATTTTATAGAATTTATTTTCTTTGTGGCAGAAAACATTGTAAACCTATCATATTACAGTTCACTTCTCCTTCTAGGGTATTGGTCAGATTTTAGTGAAACCTGCACACGATGATCATCCAATGGGTATTTACCCAAACTGTGCTCATCTTTGTCACCTTTGTTCTCAGTGGATCTCATAGGTTTGTACAAAACAACCAACCATTGACAAGAAAACCTGTGATTTTCTTTCCATTATTAAATCACAACATTTGGCAATATTCCATGGGTTCAAGCCTTCAAATACTTTATTAATCCCTGAGAAAATTATGTAATTGCCTAAACTAAATGAAATAATACAATATATCACCAAGTTCCAAAATATAGTAAAATATCTTTAATATGTACAAATAGTTATAAATACCCCAGTGTATAACACAAATTAAATATATATGGTTGAAAAGTAGCCATCATGCAGTGAAAAAGCACAGAGTGTTCGTGGAAAATGATAGAGAAGGTCAGAAAGAGCAGCACTGAGTCGTTATGGATCTAGAGAAAGCATATAATAGGGTGCTAAGAGGGGAACTATATGAAGAAGCCAAGAATGAGAAGTATGTGATGGTGGTGCAGGTCAGGTATGAGGGCAGTGAGACAGTGGTGAGGTGTGTGGTTGGAGTGACAGAAGGGATTACATCAGGATCGACTCTGAGCTCATTCCTGTTTGCAGTGGTGATGGACAGGTTGATAGATGAGGTCAGGCAGTAGTCTCCGTAGACTATGAAGTTTGCGGATGACACTGTGAGTAGGGAGCAGTTGGAAGAAAGCCTGGAGAGGTGGTAGTGAAGGTGGATGATTTTAAATACCAGGGGCCAGTGAGCACTAGACACCGTGCACAAAAGAAGTGAAGGAGCGAGAGTGTAGAGAAGGTGGAGCACGTGGAGATGAGAGCCAAGGGTGATTTGTGACAGTAGCATAGCAGCAAGAGTCAATGTGAAGCTTTAAAACATGGTAGTGAGACCTTCCTGGAGGCCGAGCTGGAGATTTTCATTGGGAGTGATCAGAATGGACAAGATTAGAAATGAGGTTACATTTGAGATGGTTTGGACACGAGCAGAGGACGGATAGTCGATATATTGGGGATGTAGAATACGGTGGTTCCAGGCAAGATGAAAAAGAGGAAGACCACAGAGAGGGTTCATGTATGTAAGGAAGGAATAACTGCAGAGGCTTGGTGTGTCAGAGTAGGATTCTAGGAAAAGGGGGAAATGGAGGCAGCGAATCTCTTTGGGGTGAATATAAATATTTATTCATGACAGTTCTTGTCTCTAAATATAGACTTTTCTTTTTTTTCATAACAGAACTAATATTTTTCTGCTTTTTGCATCACTAAAATTAGCACTGCAATTAAACACAACATTTGTTGTCTTGTTGCAGCAGTATGTAGGAGGGCTCTCTCTTTTAAAATCCCAACTTCTAGGAACAAATGTGGCCTTGGTGTGTGTCAGGGCTTTCGTGGTCTGATTCTCATTGAGGTCTTCCGTCCCATAATGGAAAACACATGTAAATTAGAGCAGCATTTCAGTGACTCTAAAAAGGTTCACAATTATATTGAATGGAATTGTGAACGATGAGGCAGATATGAATTAATTAACGCTTTCTGTTCTCTTAGTGAAAAGTAGGTGCATCTGCTGATGAAAGCAGCGAGCTTCCCTCGGTCATAGTTAGTAATTACTGGTCTTGGTGCTGACAGTGACAGCATAAGGCAGAAGAGATGAGGCTTAATTATGGACTAACGAGACACGTGTCACGTCAAGGTGAGGGTAGGGTGAACAACCCTGCTCATCAAATCCATAAAAAACATTATCCAACATGAGACCATTTCGATTTGTCGCTCCTGTAGGATCTACTTGGCACACTTACAGTAAAGGTCATGCATTTATCTGTTTTGGCTTTCAGTAAAAATCTCTTCAACCTCCTCTCTTATATACTTGCAGAATAACACATTACATTTCTTTGCTTTTTTTTTCCTTTTGAGGAGCTGAATTTTATGCAAATGTGCAACCCCTAAAGCTAAGAAATGAAGCTAGCAAAGAAGTGCCAAAACCTTCACAATGCCTACTGGCTCCAGAAGTCAGCAAGTCCCCATAGACTCCCATGGTAAAATGCCTAACAGTGTTATAGCTTGCTGGTCATGATGTCCTAGGAGTCCAGGGCCCATTGCGGCCCTTTCCTCCCTCCAGGGAGGAACCCAGCCATCACTATGCTGCCAGGCACAGTGGTTCCTCATCAGCTGCCAATGAATCTCTAGTACTAAAGGACCAATCAGTGCTTCTAGAATCCATGAGATAGTCTGCTTCTACCAAATGGTAAAACAACCTCCTGACGTGTCTTGTCATTATGTCCTCTGTGCTGACTCTTCTGAATTGATGCAGATTTTATACCAAATACTCTTTCTGACACAGTGCTTTCATGTATCTGGGATTGGTACTTGCACTATACTGGAGCTGCGCTAGTTTCTGACCATCTAATTCACACACTTAATACAAATGTACATGCATTTGTATATAATAATGTTATACAGAAATTATAGAAAGCCTAAAAAAACTATAGAAAATTGTCTTCAACCTCTTAGAGCTCTAATTATGTTATATGTTGATGAATGTGAGAGGATGGCCAAGTTAGACTTCAGGTTTTCATTAACTCATTTGAACATCTGAACCCAGGTGAGGTTCTTCTTTTAATCTTGATATAAAATTCTGTCCATGTGTTTCAATAATCCATGAATGTCCATGAGGTAATATTTAATTTTATGATCTTATAAATTAATTTCAGGCACATACACAGTAGATACCATGAAGTGCATTGAGCTCAAAAAGGCATAATTCTCATAATTATCAGATTTTGCATGAAATTAATTTTAATGGCATCTGAATGGCCTCTTTATGCTTATGAACGGCCTGTCCCTGCTGTCCTACAGCTGACAGTAATCGCACGTTCATAAACATGCTACACACAAGTCCCGTCTTCTCTATGCCCATCTTCTCAGCCATCAAAACTTAATTTACATAAACAAATCTCCAGATTGTGGTTCAGGTCGTGCTAAACGATGTTTACTGGTCAAAACTTATTTTGTGTGTTCTTTAAGGTAAATTCAATTATATTTGTGTAGCCAGTTCACAGTTCACAACAAAGTCAATTTATTCACTAAGATAAAGACACTACAATATTAGAACGTGAACTCTTGGAACTTGGTAATGGTTTACACAGACTCTGACCAGTGCACAGCCTTGCATTTTCGCATTTTCACCTTTCCACCTGACCCTCTGATTCCAACATGTGTTCTCCAAAGCATACCTCCACCTCTCCAGGCTCTCTTGCACCCACTCCCTACTTACACAGCAGGACAAAGTGTCGTCTGTGACCCTCATAGTCCAAAGAGACTATTACATTGTTAAATACAGAACTATAAACCAAAATCATCATCTTTCTGTGACCTTCTTTTGTTATGTAAATTATTCTAAAACTGAACTGCATGCGCTTTGCTGTAAATAATTAAATAAGAACTCATTAATGAAAAATATTTGAAGTAGTCTCTAGATGTATGTCTCTGTTCTTACTTACATTTTTTCACAATTTATAGCCACATTTTTGTTATTTTTGTCAGATTTTTAACTGGTCTAATACGGTGCTTTTGTACATTATAATGACTTTATGTCTTACAACTTGCAAGTTTAATAAATAAATAAATAAATAAACAAACATGACTTTGCCGGTGCTAACATATCTGTAGTCTCTGTGTCAGGTTTGGCATAAAAAGGCCAAGCGTCTGAAGCCACACACGTCATAGGTGGACCAAATTAACATGCTAATAGCATTCCAAGCATTCAAAATAACTTTCATTTTTATTCATTTTGTGGCACTGTGGGGTCACTCGATGCCCAGAGGTGAATTTCCCACGTGATTTCTTTTTATCATAAATGCACATCTCATGAAATATACAAAATGACACGCAGAGCCACAAAAACAGCATCAGGATTGTGCAAGAAGATTTCAGTATTTAAATCTTTGCATTTGAGCTACGAGCTGGCACATAATGTACTGTCCAGTGTTTTCTCCTTTTTTAAACAGGCAATGTTTCCTCACCACATAAACTGATTTTATAATCAACCTGTTTCAAACATTTCAA